CAAATACTTGATGAATTTTCCAGATATTTTTCTAATATTGATTTCTCATTTAATTCATTATAATCATAGACTATACTTCATAGACTCAAATGCTTTTATATTTATTGAGATTTATTTTAAAGTCTGGTGTGGTTTTTTTTGTTTGTTTTTAGTTTTGGGGGGTTTCTTTTCTTTTTTTTGGTGGTAAATGTTCCTTTTTGAGTTCATCTAAAGGATGTGTATTCTAGTGGTTAGGGATGAAGAGTGCTGTAATTATCAATAAAGTCAAGTTGACTAATAATCTTGTCACAGTCTTCTATGTCTTTGTTTTCTTTCTGTTGCTAATAGTGGAACTGAAATCTTCAACTATAATGTGATTTTTATCTGTTTATTATTGAAATTATTTTTTTCCTTCCTATCTACCACTCCCTGCCATTTCCTTTTCTTTAAAGATTCCAATTATGTATATATAAGGCCACTTGAAATTATTCCACAGCTCACTGATGATTTACTTTTTCATGCCCTCCTATTTTAATTTGGATTGTTTCTATTGCTATATTTTCACTAGTCTTCTGATGTTATTGCATTTTAAACCTCAGATATCTAGTTTTTACTACTAAAAGTTTGTTTGGGATGTGCGTATATATGCACGTGTGTGTGTGTGTGTGTGTGTGTATAACTTTCCAAGTCTTCACTTAACACGTTCAATCTTTATTCTAGTATTCTAGCTTCTTGAACATATGGAATAGTTTTAATAACTTTTTATTATACTTATCTGCTAATTCTTTCAGCTTTGTCTTTTCTGATTGGTTTAAGTTGATTTTTCTCCTAATCATAGGTTATATTTGCCTCTTTTCTATGCATGATAATTTTTTTATTGGATGCTAGATGCAAATTTTACCTTCTTGGATGCTGGATATTTTTATATTCCTATAAATACTCTGTGTTCTGGTATGCAATTAATTTATTCACAAAGTTTTATCTTCTCAGTTTTTCTAGGTAGACTGAGAGTAGCTTCTAAATAAGTCTCCTTTTTGTCTATTTCTTTGATTCACTATTAAATTAAAAATCTTCTAGGTGGTTGTATTAGTTTCCTGTGGGCTGCTATAACAAAAGTGGCTAAAACAATAGAAATTTGCCACATATGGTGACATATACCTATAATCCCAGCTATTCAGGAGGCAGAGGCAAGAGGGATTACAAATATGCTGCCAGCTTTGGCAACTTCACAAGATTAAAAATAATAATAATAATAATAATAATAATAATAATAGGAGGGGGGTTGTGGCTCAGTGGTAGAGCACCTCTGAGTTCAGGTCCCTAGTAGTGCCAAAAAATATGTTGATGGTGGTGGTGATGATGATGATAAAATAAAACAATAGAAATTTATTTTCTCACAGTTTTGGATATTAGAAATCCAAAATTAAAGTATCAGTAGTACCCTGCCCTCTTGGATTCCTGTAAAGGAATTTTTCCTTGTTTCTTTTAGTTTCTGGTGGTTTGTTAGCAATCTTTGGGATTCTTTGTCTTGTTGATGTATAAATCCAATATTCCATTTTCATATGTTTATTATTCCTGTATTTCTTCATTTCATTTTTCCTCTGTGTGTGTCTGTCTCCTTTTTACAAGGACATATATATTGGATTAGGGCCTACCCTAATGAGCTCATTTAACTTTATTACTTCTATAAATAATTTATTCCAAGTAAGGCCACATTCTGAGGTACTAGGGGTTCATATTTCAGTAAACCTTTATTTGGGGTAGGGGGAGGAAGGACAATTCAATCCCAAACAGTACTGTATCCAAATTCAATAAATGATGACGTTTTTCACTCTGGCACCTCAGAACAGGAGCTATTGCCTGCCTTGTGTGAGCACCCTGAATTGTTCTCTCTAATCCTTTTGGATGGTTCTCTCCCCAGCCTTGTATAGTTGCCTCCTGTGTATGTGCTTATCAGTACTCAGATGAAGATTCACAAGGATCCTTGCAAATTTCCAGAGTTCTTTCTGGATAGCCTCCAGACCTCTAGTACTCTGTCCTGAAAGCTCTAGCTGTGTTGGCCTCCTTGGATTTCTAGCTTCATCTCAGCTTAGCTTCACTGTTGAACTTTAGCCAGATTTCTGTTCCCTTCTGCAACCTGAAAAGTCCCTTCAGGAAGTAAATTGGAGAACTTAAGGGCTTACCTCATTTAGTTCCCATTGCTCATGAATCACTGTTCTTTACTTCATGTCCAATGTTTCGGACATAGTCCCTCTCTCCTACTCCTCCCATATGTTTGTCTGGTGTTTTCAGTCATTGCATGCTTTTCTAGCCTGTATCTAGGTTCCTGATTGTTAGGAGAAAAGAATTATACAAGAGTATATTTTGGTTCTTGAATAAACCCATAGATTTCAAGATTAACTTGGTCCTTAGTGGTGCTTGCTAGTAATTGTGTTTTCTTATCAGCCTTTTCTCTCTTATTCTCCAGACTATCTGATTAGTGTCTTCTCACTCTCCTTAAACCTCTTTCACCCATGTCACTTGGTTGATGATCTTGCCTCCTAATTCACAGAGAAAATAAAAACCTTCTGCTGGGAAATTCCTCTACTTTTGTGAACCAGTCTATCAGTGAGCATTCTTTGGCATACATGCTTTCTACTTCCCAGTTTCCTTTTTGCAGTAGTGTAGATATAATTTTCCTTACATCTTGGACTAATTTTAATTCCTACATCTGTTGTCAGTAATCTTTTCTTTCCTCTTTGGGAGCTTTGCTCAATTGATTTCATTCTCTCTCTCCTGAGTCTTGAAACCCTTTTTGATGTCTTCTTTACAATTAGTGTTGAAATATTCAAATGTTGTTAGTCTTTCAAGGAAAATCTCTACTTTGATCCTGCTTCTCCCTGTCCTTTCCTCTCCTATGTGGTTATCACCTTCTCTCAAAGCCAGACTTCTTAAACTGGTGATCTGTATTTGTTTCTTTTATGCCCATTTATTTTTTCACCAACTGCCTGACTCCAGAGTCCTTTATTCTCCTGAAACCAATTGCCATGGTTGCCTCACTTCCTTTTTTTGCTCTCCTCAAAATTATCTCCAGATCATTGTTTTCTGTAGTCAGTTAAAAAAAAAATTAGTTGCATAAAATCATAAGATAAATTTGTTAAAAATACAGGTTCTTGAGACCTGGCCCCTGGAGATTATGATTTAGTAGGGCTAAGAATACTATATTTCACAGAATTTAATGCTGTTTTTTATTTAGCCTAATTTTTTCTTGGGTTTCATTTGATAGCTTTAACTCTCTCTTGAAACATTTTTTCCTTGACTTGCTTGGCAGCATATTTCCCATTCTTCTCCCATCCCCATCACTGCCTCTTCTTACCACACATGCTTCTTTCCCATTCTTCCTTAGTTACCATTCAAAAATCTTGTTCCCTGAAAAATTGATGTTCTTCAGGGTTATTTTCTGCACTACCTCTTATCACCCATGCCTCTTTGATAATCTCAGTCATTATCGCCTTTAAAATGATCTTTCTCAGATCTCTGTGTCTCCATTCATCTCTTTCCTTAGCCTCACATTTTTATATTCAGCAACCTCAAATGTCCCATAAATAATTTAAGCTCAGTATGTTCAAAATAAAACTCTTCTCTCTACCTGCGAATACATAGTTTTCCTCCTTTTTTTTCTATTTCAAGTCATATCCAGCTGTATACTCAAGCCCCAAACAGGAAAGAAACATTCTTTTTTCCCTTTCCCTCATAATTACAAATGCATTTTTGATTTAGCATTCCCCCTTCAGGCAATTTATGCTATAGACATACCTGCATTTACCCAAAGTTGTGATGTGCAAGATTTTTCATTGCAGTGTATCTTGAAATAAAAGATTAGGAAGAATCAAAATACCCATCTATAGGGGAGTGAACAGATTAAACTGGTACACCCATCCATTGGAGTGCTATCATGTGGCTACAAAAATGATTGAGAAAGCTGTCTATGTACTGAGAAGATCTCAAGGTTATAGTATTAAATGAAAAAGTAAGAAACAGAATGGGAGATATATGCTATCTTTTATGTAATAAAGGGAGAGAAACAAATATTTGAATGATGCATAAGAAATGTATGAACCATGTTACTATTAAAATTTTTTAAATTATGAAATGGAAAGCTTCCTATATGATGCTTTTTAATTCAAGCTAATCTTTTAGACTAAGTTTTCAGCTAATTTGAGAGCATGTTCTAAATCAATATTGTCTATTTTTAGGTTTTGGCAATCAGAAATATCTTGTTTTCCCTTTTGATGACATTTCAGTTTTATCTCGTGTCTTACTTTGCTTAGATGTAACAACTATGACTTTACTGTTTCCTCTATTATAGGTAGTATCTCAGTTCAAAACCGCTTGAGGTGTGTTTGAAATTGACTTCCCTTACTCCTATAGTGATGTCTGATGTTTTCTTTTCTTGGCTTTTGGTTTCATTTGTTTGGTTTCAGGAGTGATTTTTTTCTTTCATATGATAGTGTAACATTATAGATTATTCAACCATCTTGTATATCTGTTTAAAGCCCGTCTCCAGAATTAGAAAGGAAGTGCAATTATATATTTATTTGCAAGGACTTTGGACCATTGGTACTCTTTCACTATTAATAAAAGTCTGGAAACTCAAAATTTACATAGTTGGAATAATTATTTACAACTAACATCAATTAATATGCCTTTCTTCTGTTTTACATTCACTTTGAGGAACCTTTTATAGAAGGGCAGAATCAATAGGACATGTGTATCAGGTAGCTTATTATGATTCATAAACTTAATATGTATGGTAGTTGGAAATTTGTGTGCGTTTTTAGTATGTTTTCAAAACTAAATTACCAAGATAACTTAAAAAATACAAAATGCTAGAGTTTTGTTATAGTGCTTTTTAATGTTGCTTTTATTTTTGGAATATTAAAAGTTGGCTATGATAATACTTAACATTTAAAAACAAAAACATAGTTCTTTATTTCACTCTGAAAACCAATCACAACTTTCTCTGATTTGTTTTTTTAAAGGTGTTCTTAAGGATTATTTAAGAGAACTTCCCTCTCCTCTGATAACAAAGCAGCTTTATGAGGCTGTATTAGATGCAATGGTAAAAAGTCCTTTGAAAATGTCATCAAATGGTTGTGAAAATGACCCAGGTGATTCTAAGTTCACTGTTGACCTGTTGAATTGTCTGCCAGGTGTTGAGAAGGTAATGTAATTGGTATGCATTTTTCCCAAATCCAGCTAATGAATTATGTGCTTAGCTCTAAGAACTACATTTTCACGTCTTTAATATTTGTGGCAGTTAAGTATTTAAGCTCTGTCTTTATTGCTTTTTAAACAGCATAAATCTGGAAATCAGTTTTACAGTTTGTGTATTTGACTTTAACCTAGGCATGAATATGCCTTTTAAGCTTTTAAAATGTATTGTTATCTTATTATTAAAATAATACATTTATCTGAGAAAATATAGAAAAATGTAAAATTACCAATATCCAAAGGCAAATATAACTGATATTTTGATGTGTTTTCTTTTAATATTTTTTAAATTTGACAACCATTTTTGTGTATATGGCTTAGTCTTAAGACTTATGCACCCTGCCCACACCTCTGCTTCTTTTCTCCTTGCCTGGTGCCATTTACTCTTCCCCCACATCTAATCTCAACACCAGCATCTTCAGGTTTACTTGCAGGAGGCACAGAAGGATGACTGGTCTGCAGAACCAGCCTAAGCCTGACTTTAGAGGCTGTTACTGAGAATAAAGGGAAAATGAGAGAAAGATGTGGTTGGGCTTGACCAGAGGAGGCCAACTTTGTTTGCATTTCTTATTGTATAGGGGTAGAAAGTGCAAGATGAGTGGGTAGAAACTTTGAGCCCAGTAACTTTATTCACTAGTTATTTGTCCCAGAAATGTCCAGTGTTCTCTCCAATACACTCCTCCTTTGCATGAGGGAGAGGAACCTCTAAAGAGTGCAGCAGCTGAGGGTGGGGTGTACCAGGAGGAGACAATTGAAGAGGTGGAAATAATCCCTCCTAACATTAGGTAAAATTATAAATGCCACTTTTGAGTGAAGAAATGAGTGTCAGGAATTTAAATCACATGACCAAAATTACATAATTTAGTGATTGTTTTTAGTCTGTTGCATGAATTTACCCATGCTATTAACATCCTTTCTAAAGAGGCTGCATACTATCCCATTGAGTGGATGTGACCTAATTTATCACAATTTTATTTTATATAATGTTTATGTTTTGAACCTAGTCATTTTTTTCAATGTAATTTATAAGAAATTACAACTGATTTTGTAATACTTCAAAAAACATTATTACTTTCCCTAAGTACATAAACTCAAATAAATATTCCACTTCTTGACCCAGTTCTATTTATGCGTTTCCTTAAGGATTAAAATATTTTTTTCCTGTAAATTTTTATTTTTCTTCTAACTTTCCTTTTTCCATCTTTTATCTGCTTAATATTTATTAGTTAAGAAACACATTGATCTTTAAAAAATCTGCATCATGGTAGACTCTGGCTATGCTCTGAAATAGTAAAGCTTCTTAAGTATGGTAGGCCTGTATTTATAACTATAGGATTTATCTATACTTTAAAAATGAACTTTCCTTTCCATTATACCTTTTGCTGTTATCTTTTAAAGAGGGTAGAGAGGAAGAGTTGATGATGCATTATCCCAGGGACTCCAGTTGAAATTTGGAATACATTCAGAAGCATTTTATGGAGTATTATTAGAATCACTTAATGGATTAAATCATGTTGTGAGAATATTATCTGGACCCCTTTGTAATGTTTCTGTTAGAAAACATGTTCAGGTTCCTGATATCCAACTTACGAATAAGCCTTTGAAACAAACTTTTAAAAGTAACAAGATGCATACCTATATTTTGCCATAAATTGTATCCTTGGATTTGTGTCTATATGAATATATTAAGTGAAATTTCATTTGATTTAATTTAGGCAACCCTAAAGATGTTGTTGGATCATTTGAAATTGGTAGCTTCTCATCATGAAGTAAATAAGATGACCTGCCAGAATTTGGCCGTGTGCTTCGGACCAGTATTATTAAGTCAGAGGCAAGAGACTTCCACCCATAACAACAGAGTCTTTACTGATTCAGAAGAACTTGCAAGCGCTTTGAATTTTAAAAAACATATTGAAGTTCTTCATTATTTACTCCAACTCTGGCCAGGTAAGTGATTCTATGGAAATATTCTTATTTTTCAATGATGGGGGTGAATTAGCTAATCATAAAATATTCCCATGTATGATTGAAGATAATATTTTTTAGCTTTGCTTTTTAATATATTTATAAATTGATACCTCTCCTTCAGATTTTTCTATGTATATTTTGTGCCTTTTCTGATAATATTGTAAACGTGGGACAGTGTACACATTTTGGATTTGGTCAGATCTGGATCTGAATCCTGGTTGTGCCACTTATTAGCACTTTGACCTTAACATCAGTATCATCTTTTGTTATAGACTTTATATGAGGACAGCTTTTGGCACATAATACTTAATGTTAATTTATTTACTCTTCTCATTTTAAGTTCAACTGTTATGAAGCAAAATTTATTTTTCTTCTTAAATCCATTCATTCGTCTTCCTGACATCTTTACTGTATTCATGATTGTTTTTCAGATTATCCCAAGTTGACATGGCATTTACCCTTGATCTTTTTTTTTTTTTTTTAATATTTTTTTAGTTGTAGATGGACTCAATACCTTTATTTTAATTGTTTTTATTTTTGTGTGGTGCTGAGAATTGAACCCAGTGCCTCATATGTGTGAGGCATGTGCTCTGCCACTGAGCCACAATCCCAGTACTTAAGTACTTGGTCATTTCATTTTGAATAACATGGTGAATAAAAACAAATTAAGTTTCTTAAGTAATTAGTCATTTCATTTTGAAGTTTTTTCAGCAACCTTATTAGACTGCATTTCTTATTTCATTCCATTGAAAGTGAGTAGTCAACAGTAATAAGAAAGTGAGAACTTTTCTTTTAGGGTTAAAATTAGCCATTTTCTTTGCATCAACAAAGAAAACATTCTAGCATCATCACTTTAAAAAAGGCAATGTCATTGATTTTTTAGAAATTGAATTTTTAGTCTAAAAGATATAAAGTATTGATTTAATTGGTTTCCTAAATACTATTCAGTTTGCAAAGATAATGTTGGAATAGCATCTTGGCTAAAAAACGGCGTTAAGAGACTGGCAACAAAAGAAATCTGGATTTTGCAGGTGAATGTCAGAAAATACAGGCATAATGAAAGCTTAAGACACAAGAATCAAAAGATGTGTGGTTGGATCAGACCAGATGAGCCCAAGGTTATCAGTGTTCTGTTAATTTGGTGGCAAAAACAACAGTCATAGCAGTTTAACACTAAGAACAAGTAGAACACAGAGAAAGGGGAAAAAAGGAGACAGTGGAGATAAGTATCCAGAGGAGAAAAAGGAATATGAATAATTAAACAGTGGAAAAATTTAGATAGCCTTTCTGCATTTGAATCAATTAATGGCATGGAACATTTTATATTGATACTTACATGAAAGATCACTTAAAATAAATATCTCACCTTTATTTTCTTGAAAATTTTTATCAAGAACTTAGTTATCTATAAATAATATATAATAATAATTGTCATAAAAATGAAGTATATAGGACTGGGGATGTAACTCAGTAGTACAGTAGTTGTCTAGCATGTGCAAGTCTCTGGGTTCAGTGCCCAATACTGCCAAAAAAAACCCAAAAATTGCAATACATCGACATTTTTAAAACATGACACACAATTAAGTATCCTAATAGAATGTAAGTAAAATATTATGTGCTGTCTGAAAAATATTATATCACTCTAAGTCTGGAAAACTAGAACCATATATGTTTGTGTAGTTTTTCTTATTTTGTACAATAGTAAACAAGCATGATTATATGTTGTAAGATTGGTATGTTATCACTGATTTACATGCTCTTTATCTTAAGGAAGTATATAAGGAGAAGCAGATATTAATAAAATAAATAAGCAGAAAAAAGAAAGTATGGATGATCTTTAGTAGCTATGTCTCAGTCTTATAAATTAAGTCAATTTTATATACAGAAGAGCCTTAGACATATATTTTGTGTAGTATAAATGAGTAAGCAACGAAGCCTTAATTTATTATTAAATAATGTGTGTATCTATAGTGATCTTCTATGTGGCCAGTACGATACCAGAAGATATGATACGTCTTATCTCAAAAGAAAATAATCAGGGGCTGGGGTTGTGGCTCAGGGTAGAGCGCTTGCCTAGTGCATGTATGGCAGTGGGTTTGCTCCTCAGCACTACATAAAAATAAATAAGATAAAGATATTGTGTCCATCTACAACTAAAAATATATATATATTAAAAAAAAATAGTCTTAGAAAGAGGAATGTTATTTGGGCTTGCTAAATATCTAACCAGAATGGGAAAAATGAAAATATTTGTACTATTTCCAGGCAATAAAGGAAGACTGTTAGTAGCTAATGCTGTATAATCGAACTCAGGTAACAAATGGTCAAGTCTAGTATTCCTGCATTTTATCAAAGCAAATTTTGGGCTGCTTAGTAAATTATGACACTGTTGCTAATTGCAGAAGAGCCCACTAAAGTCAGGACTTTTAGAGTAATCACTTTAGATGCCTTGCCTCATTATGTTTGCAGACAAAGGAACTTTTTGTTTTGTTTTGTTTGTACACCCACTTGCCTTGCCTGCTTTTTGCTGTAGCCTTTAATTTAGAAGCTACCAGCTTAGCTACTGTTTGAATTATAGCTAGATAATAATTAACTTGCACCAAAAGTTAATCAACATTGGAAATTTAATTTATTTGAGGACATTATGATATAGCATGAATTAGCACCACCGAACATTCCACTAGCTTCTGTTCCTAATCTTGATGATGTCTGATGATAGAAAAAAATAATTATGGAATGCTTACTTTTGATAGTGTGCATGTTTTTGTTTTAATGCATGTTTTTAGTTGATTATTAAATGGCTTATCTTTATTTAGCTCTGTTTTTTTAAGACCAGTTGGATTGCTGTCACTAAAACAAATTTATTGTTCATTTCTAGTGCAACGTTTAACTGTCAGAGAATCAACAGACAGTTTGTTCCCAGAGCAGTTGTCCTCTCTGAATTATTTGAGGCGGAAGAAAGAACGACCTCACGTGTTAAATTTGAATAGTATTGATTCATCAGGAATACTTAGACCAAGGCAGACCAGATTAGACAGTCCACTTAGCAATCGTTATGCAGGAGACTGGAGCAGCTGTGGAGAAAACTACTCTTTAAATACAAAAGAAAATTTAAATGATGTGGATTATGATGATGTACCTTCAGAAGACAGAGAAAATGGAGAAGATTATAGCAAAATGAATGGACCAGAAATAATGATTGAACAGCCACTTCCTATGTCCAAAGAGTGCACATTCCAGACATACTTGACAATGCAGACCATTGAGTCTACAGTGGATCGAAAAGTTAATCTCAAAGATCTACAAGAAAGCATTGATACTTTGATTGGCAATCTGGAGCGTGAGCTCAACAAAAACAAGCTGAATCTGAGTGTATAAGATTGAAAGGTTTGATTTGGTTTTTAATAATGTCTTAAAGTTTCAAATGAGTTCTTTTCATGTTCTTATACCTCACAGTGTTGCTTTTTAAATATTTTTTACTCTTAAAACCTTTGAATAATATCTAATAAGTTCATGTGATTCAATTAAAGATAATTCATTAATATAATCTTTTTGGGGGGGGAAGAAGTAAGAATTTAATAATATTTTAAATAAGATTAGTATTTCTTCATTGAATTCAGTCATTTTTCTCCCATATCACACTGTATACAACTGCAGTAGTTATGACTCATTTTTATCAACCTAGATGTATCACATATCTAATTATTTGATTCCTAAAATATTTTAAAAGAACACATGCAAGCATAATTTGAAAGGCATTTTAAGTGAGTTTCCTCTATTTATAATACATCTCTCTTCACATTTTTTTTGGCCAGATCTTCCCATTATTTATAAGAGCTAGTTGCTAAACTAACATTTAGTGCTTTTTCCACCATACCCCTTTATTCTATAATTTCAGTATTTCTCTAAAAGATGAAACTGTAGGAAAAAAGAAAATCAAACCTCAAGGACCAACATTTCTATATGCTGTGTTTTCTCATTTTAGTTTTAACTAATGTGGTAGGTTTTATTTTCCCTCAAAATATTATACAATCATAATTATATTCAAAATTGATGGAATCTTACAGTCAAGCAAGATACAGAATATGGAATGGTATTTATGAATAAGGACAATCAGGTAATATTCTTAAGTATAATTAAAGATATAAGGGAAATACTATTCATGATTTAATCCAAGACCATGAAGGTGAAAAGGCATGACCTAACATGAAATGCATACTGAGTTCATTTGCAGCATTAAACCAAATCCAAGAAAACTGGTTATATCCCAATTCCTTTAGGAAATCTAACTATACTGAAGTAATTTTGATCAATGAAGTTTATTTTAAAGCAATAATCATTGCTGTAAAGCTCTGAAGGTAAATTTGTGAAATGCATTTTCTTTGGCAGTTTAACTGATTTTTCTTTGAATGGAGGCCCATTGGGTATTACACAACTAAGAAAAGGCATATTAAATGTTCTTGGACCACATTTTAAATTTTTTGAAAAGCTACAAGGGAAAGCCAACAATATCATTCAGTTTATTTAAGATTTAATTATATCTTTAATTATATTTAAGAATATTATCTGATTGTCTGTATTCATAAATACCATTTCATAGACGTGTATTTCACTTGATTGTAAGATTCCATTAATTTTGAATGTAATTATGATTGTATAATATTTGGGGGGAAATATATTTTTGCTTTATCTCTTTAGAAAATTTCTGGGGATAAAGATAACTTGGATTTTTTTTTTGATATTTTAATAAACCTTTTCAGTTATATGGAGGTAATTTTCAAATGCACTTACAAAATCATGTAGGTTATTAGCTCCTCAAGGTTTTTGTACTATATAGGAATTACTCCTCTGTAGTTGGGGCAGATGTTCCTTTAGAGGAACATGCAGCTGCTCAGTCTGATTTGCAGTAAGAATCTTGTACACTGTAACATCATTTGTTCACATTTCATTTGCAATGCAAATGCTGCTATATATAAAACCTTTTTATAAATAAAATTATACAAATATTAATGTATCTGTATTAACATTCAGTAATTATTTAAGCTTACGAAAATATTTTTATAATCCTGAAAATGTGTATATACCTATAAGAACTTATATGTGTAGGTATTAGTTTGGGGGAAGTGGTTGACAGTAGAATCACATGTATTTTTTGAGATATATATGTTGTGAGGCCAAAATTATTAGTTAAAAAATGTCTTTCAGGGAAAGGACATTTAAGTTCTTCAAGGAGGGATTACATAAAAACACTTGAATTAAAAACATTTTAGAAGCACCTGAATAGAAATAATAGACTTTCCTCTTTTGATTCATAGATGGTCACAATATCTTTGTGAAGTCACCTTTTCAATTGAGTCTTTCAGCTTCTTGAGGGATTAAGTGCTCAGATTTCTGTATTAGTGACAAATTAAGAAAAATCTTCACCTATTCTATGCATTTTTGTATTCTGTAATGTTTTAAGTATTTATTTGTAATAATAAACTTATAATATTGACTTTATAATTACCCCCATTTGTTTCTAATGAAATCGTCTTGCCACCATACGACATGTTATTGATTTTTAGAAGTTAACTTATTTTGGCTAAGTGTATCTACAAACCAGTTTTATAGTAATCATAGTAGTGTTTGACATGTTGATTTAGAAGGCTTTTTAAAATTAAATTGGAATGTATTTTTTTAAACTTTTATACCTACAGAATGTATAATTTTAGATTTATAAATAAAATTTGAAATCTCAGCTTTAAGATTTAGCAGCCATTAAAAACTGGCTTCCTAATGTTTTTCTAAACATTAAAAGTATTTTACTATCTCTATGCAATATACATTGGTAAACAGAACACCTTTTTATTTACTTTGAAATCCCACTAAAAATGATAATTATTTTTTTATGAAATTTTCATTTTTTAAAGCTTTGTATAACAGTTTAGAATACCAAAATAATATGTGGCAGGTATATGTCATGAGTAAACAGAGGAAAGTACTTTGAAATGTTTTCCAGGGAGACTCTGTTTTCTTCCTTTTGTTTGCTATGTCATGTATATTTATGAACTGGTATATTGTATGAACTGAATAAGTTTCAGAATGTAAAAAATTTTATTAAAAGATTATAACCCTAGTATCATTCTTTTAATTATCATAATGATTTTAATGATAGCCTATTTAATATTATTTTTAAAGGTATTGTCCGTAATTATATGGAATGACATTTATTTATCCAAAATTGAATTTTCTAGAATCTGAAATACTTTAAGATATTATTTCACTTTGGATGAGAATAGTTTTAAAGTTAGTCTCTGTCACCTTAAATGGAGAATTCTCAACATTTTTTTTGTTTCTGAGTCATAACTATAGACTTATATTTTTATCTCTTTTGCTTCTAGAAGTGCTGAATAAGCTTAACTGCCTTTACTTTAAATCTTTTTTCAGTGTTTATACCTGCTTTTTGTAATTTCCTGGGATCTGCCTATACAGACTGTCAACTATAATTCCTTTCTGAGCCTACTGGATCTGATGTTTTTGAGGATTAAAAACAATTTTAACTTTAGTGCATGTACCTGAGTAAAAATTTTAAACAATTCAGACAGAAAATAAAAAGTATAAGAAAGAGTTCCTTTCTGCTGTCCTCACCAATCCCTTTCTCAGAGCTAACAGCATGTTTGTTGCTGCTGTTCCTTGATTTATCATTTAAAAGTGTCTGTTGATTGTTTGCTGTGATGATAAGCAATTTATCTTTATTTCTCCTTACTATTAGTTACGTTTTTGATTTTTTTTTTTTTTGGTTTCCTTTATTCCTTTAATAGTCTTCATTTCTCAGTCCATCAATTTTAAACAGTCTCATGACTCCCTACCAATTGAAGAAATGGTCAAACTTTGGCTTCCTTTCCAACTTATTATGACCTTTTACCTCCTGACTTCTATAAATTATGCTATTAATTTATATAATCAGTATTAATAGATGTTTATTATTTTGAAGTTCTATATTTGACCTATGTTTTTCCTTTATATATTGATCCTAAAAACTGCAGATCTGTAACTAGTTTGTGCTAGAGTATGTGAAGGTATTCATTCACAGGCAAAATTTTATATCTTTAAGTCTGTATTGATTGAAATAAAATGCTCCAAGCATAAGGGGATGGATTCTTTTCTCTCATACCCTTAACACTCTAAAACATACTGTATGTTATTCACTTCAATAATTGGGCCATAGCTTTTGCAGATTTTAATTTTTTCTTGGAGTATTTAATTTATTTAAATTTTGACAGATGATAAATAATTTTACTATAACTGTCTTAATAATACTGTGAATTACCAAATTTGTTCAGTGGTTTTAGTTCTTGTCCTGGGATTCCTGAAGTATATTTTTGTCTGTACTTTTCTTTGACAGAATAAAAATGCCTATTCCTTGATTTATCATTTAACTCAGTATATTTTCTATAACTCAGATCATTTTATGCTTCTTAATCAACTTTATCAAATTTCTGCAAAAGTTATTTTTAACTACCATTTTGGAATGTATTATTCTTTCTTTTTTAGTTGTAGTTGGATACAATATCTTTATTTTATTTATTTATTTTTATGTGATGCTGAGGATTGAACCTAGCGCCTCTCATGTGCTAGCGCTGAGCCATAACCCCAGTCCTGGAATATATTTTTTTGGATCCCACTTTTTTCTTGAATTTGTTTTGTTGTTGTTTGTTGTATCTGTTTTCTGAAGTATATTTGCAAGTGCCCTTTTTTTATCCCCCCAAATAAGACTACCTGGAAGATAAACTTTTCATCTTTTTAGGTCTGACTAGGACTTTATTTCTTTCCCATGCTTCATTATGATTGGTTTGGTAATCCTACATTGAAATTCATTGTTTAGAATTTTGAAGGCATTTCACTATTATTTCCAAGCATCTGGTTTGCAGTAATCTAGGATAGAAAGATGATTGTTCAGATCAAAGAAGAAGCAATAGAGGTAGTGAGGAATGGTTGGATAATGGATATATCTTGCAGTAGGAGTCAAAAGAATCTGCCTGTAAGCCATGTAAGGAGTAAGGCCCAAGCAGCTGAAGAAATTGCCATCAAATGAGATTGAAATGACTAACTCATATTTTTAAAATGAGTTCCTTGTAATAGACATTATTAATGCAACAGTTATCAAAATGCTTTATGATGTTCTGTTAACTAATAACACTAGTGCTTCTGTATCTAGTGATGATGCTTGTAAAGTCATGGCTACAATCAGAAAGCAAAAACACTTCCTTGCATATCTACCTAAGTAGTACCACTTACCACATATTAACAATCTTTGGAAGTTTTCAGATTGTCTAGTTTTATTTTAGGGAACCAAAAGAAATAGGTTTGGGTAGTGTTATGGTTCCTGAAAGGAATTT